TCTAGCGCTACGTAGTGAAAAAATTCTGAACTACTATCCACCAGCAAAAAAAATTATGATCTTTAGAACAACTTTGCCCAAGACAGTAACATTCTAGCTGGTCAGCATCTCGAGATTTTCCATGTTGTAACCAATTAAGTCAAATCCCACGTAGTACGGAGACCACCGTTTACGCGGTTTCCATTCACATTTTCTCTTTTATCCGCATTGTTTGGGGGTAAACTGCGATAAAAGTTTAGCTTGTTTAGTTAAAAACAAGTTTTTTAAAGAATACCCGTTGGTTTCCTATTGATTGGTAGCTCGGCTGTAAAATGGCAATGGAAAACTCACACTGTTGTACAAAGTACAACGCGCGAGTACTCGTGTTACAAAAGTTGGCGCGAGTAACGGAGGGTTAAAGAACCCAATTGCACCAGGATTGAACCAAATATCTGTCTTTTCAGTTAAATTGCAGCAACATAAACAAAACAAAATACTGGGCTTTCCAGTATACGCAACTCAAACCAATTACTGAATGAACAGTTATTTTTGACAGATTGACTTTACGGGCAGTTCGGTAATGCAAATTATTTATGTGATGATTACTGGGCGATCCACAATTCAAAAACCCAGTAATATTTTACTGACTCCAGTAATCTAAAGTTAGTGTGCATCCCTCTTCAAAGGGGGAGTTTGGTAAAGAGAGATGAAAAAACCGATTTGTACCTTCCTTAAAAGTTTTCCTAGCTCGCTATCTACTACTATCTAAATATATGCAATTTTCACACTGCCGTACTCTAACGGAACTATCAACTCTATACTTTCATCTCCTCCATCTATCGTATAAAAATTACCGCTTTAGTCTGTTATTTGAAATGAGCATCTTCAACTAAAAAAAACCAAATTTTCAAAGTTTTGTGTGGCATTGTAAATGTCCCAATCATCACTTTACTTAATTACCTGATAGGAATATATATATATTCTAAACATTTTTGTCGAAGACCGGAAGATGATTCGAGTTTTTCCTGAAAATTTATTAGTTAATCCAGTTAATTAAATTTTTACATTGTAAATGCCACATTCTGACTTATCCCGGGAAGTGAACAAAGATAGTAAATTGTTTTAATATTCGTAAGTTTTATCTCCTTCGAAGAAGGATTAAAATTGGAGATTCCTTCAATACTAGGGACACCAGATTTAAAGAGATCTTGTGAATACTTCCTGATCAACGAACAGTTTTGGGAGAATATCTTCAGAATAATACTGGATCAACCTGAAGCCTTGAAAAATATCCAGAGGACTTTATTGTGATCTTCGATCAGCTGGAGATCTTTAAGTACTTCCTAACCGGTCTGCCATCTTGAGAGAGACAATTGAATGTTTGACTAGTTTAAGATCTTCAGATTTCCTGATCAACCTGAATTCACTAATATCTGACCAACCAGCAATCTTGAGAGACTATCAAGAGACGTTATTTGAATTTTATGAACAGTTGAATATCTTAAGATTAATAATTGATCAACCTGAATTCTTGAAAAATATCCAGAGGTCTTTAAATCTCGGACCAATTTCATATCCTTAAAATACTATCTAATCAAACTTCCATCTTGGAAGGATGTTTAAAAGAAGTCGTTTGAATTTTTGAACAATTGCAGATCTTTAGAAGATTACTTGATTAAGTTGAAAAGTCTTGAATAATATCGAGAGATATCATCGCAAATCCGTGAATATCAGTTATACGAAGATTCCTGTACTTTCAATAAGTTTCTTGAATTTAAACTCAGTTCCATGAACTCAAAGCCTACATAAGATTTTTCCATAGCTTACATCTTTCAATTTTTCGATAGGTACAACTTAATTTCTGCCCTGCTTGCTGAACTTTCAAATAATTCATGCGATGTTCCGTAATCATCGTCCACGAAGTTGTTTAACATTCTACGAAGTCTCCTGAAGATCTATGATGGTCCCTGAAGTTTCACGAACTTCGATGAAGTTCTCTGAAATCAAATGAATGTCTCTTGACATCTAAGAATTTCCCTAATGTGACGTGATGTTATGTTTGTCAGCCAAAGTTCACAATAGTCCGTACAGATCATGAGGATTATGGTGGATGATTTCTCTCATGAATGTATTTGTAAAAACTATTTTGCCGTGCTTTAGGATTACATATAGATTATATACTTACGGGTAAAGGTAATGCATACCTTTGTGCATAACAAATGACAGCGATGCAGAGCTATGGAAGCCACACGGTAAGAAAAAAGTACCCAACGGCCAGTTCACTTTCACCTACTTTTGACTAGTTTGTCTCCTTTTCTCCTTCTAATGTTGTCAAAAACGGAGGACAGGGTTAGTAAAACCACTCAACAGGGTTAGTAAAGTGTGAGAACCCAACATTGAGTATAATCATATTTACTTACTGTTGGGTACAACTAACTTACTTTTGGTTAAAAAGCCAGTGGAAAATTCCATACGAACTGCACACAAGTAAATGAAAATTACTTTGACCTGCTTTACCTACTTTTGGGTTCCTGCTCTATAGTGCCGAGATGAGTGAAAAGAACTTAATTGTGGGTACTTTTTTCTAACCGTGCAGGATAGAAAACGGTGACATATAGAAGTTCTTCCAGAAGGAGTAAGCATTTTACAAGATTCTGCTCGCTAATCTAAGGAAGAACTCTAACAACTGTATCTTTTCATCAGTTGAGACTAGTACTACGTACTTCCAACCACCTGAACAATGCATTTCAATGGTTTTTCGATCAACTATGAATGATGGACATCTCACAACGCTCAACCTGATTTTCGTCTATGAACCATCTAGATACGCGATTATAAAGTTTAATGAAAATGTTCACGGTTTGTTTCACTGCTAGATCTTATTTTTCACGAGTGCTTCTTGTACAACGATCATGTACAAAAAGTGATATCTGTGTGCCATACTTTCGATAAATCACAATGAATGACAAACGAAGGGAAGATATATATATATATATATATATATATTTCATAAGATGTGAAAGTTGGATTCTGCTACAGATATTCCAAGATAGATAAATTTATTTCCCGGGATTCGGTAATCCCGGAAAATGTCACAATCCCGGGATTTCCAGCTCTAATCACACTAAAGCTGCATTCCCAACCAACTATAATTTTACTTACTAATACAGTTCACATTTTTCGGTCTACAGTTTTCTTGCATTAGACCGTAGCTCGGTGTATCTCATAATCCTTTGAGTGATTTTATTGAGTTAGGTAGAAGGGAGGCCTCGCTATAGCCAGTCAATAAAATGAGCAATACTAATCTAGAGGAGGCGGATTCGATTACCGATCTGAAAAAAAAACCTTAAAATGAACAAAGACCGCTGACTGAAGTTCCAGTAAGGACGTAATAGCCAAGATGAGGAAAAAGAAGACATGATTCAATGCATTTTAATACTCTACTTCTATCTGTACGCAAATATGAATGATAGTAAATGGACCCAAGTTCAATCCAACATCTGCGATAAACCATTTTTAAAGATTGACATCCACTTCTTTAAACAGAGAGCATGACCCAGTCCTCAATGCCATTAGGTATTGCATACATTTGAAATCCGCAATTCGAATGGTTGAACCCGTTTTGCCTTTCCCCCGTCAAATGCACCGGTTTACCCATATAATTGTTCCACTCGATGTACCCCCTAGTTTTCGTCACATTTGGCCCCAACCATACAACCGAAATCTCTTGCTCGGAATGGTGAAGGCTGCCGTAACTCGAAACACTTCATTGCAGACAATTCAATCCAGCAGACATACAGACAGACAGTTTGACGGACACATCACCATTTTCATCATCATCATCATCGTCGTCGTCGTCGTCGTCATCGTCATCGTCTTCGCGTTTCATAGCGTTTGCTAGAGCGATTCAACGTTACCTATTATTTTGGAACCAAACGGTCTCGCAGTTGATTGAAGAAATCGCGCGCTCCGTATACATTGCGCTGCTCCACGGCCACGGGATGCTGTAATGGAAATGGTGTGTAAATAATTCGCTCGGCAGTTTTTTTTTTTTTCAAATGCTTACTTTCTACTCTATTGAGTTTTAACTCGCTGTTCTTCCATTCTTTCGAATGGTTACTGTTCGTTGGTACGTTCCCGAAGGGAACATACGGTTCATTTACGAACGAAAATAGCGATCTAAACTAGCCGAAACCTCCCACCGAAAATAATAGATTTAGCCTTGGATTGATCCCTAGCCTATGGCTTTGCGTCTTTGGTCACATCAGATTTCCATCAACCGTCCTGTGTTGCTATCCTTCAGCTCCTTCCGGTCCATTTGGTTCAGCAAAAATTACAAACTCTTTCAATTCAAGTATAAGATTGTGCCTAACCTGAAGGAAACGTTTACGGAATGATTGTATTGAATAAAACAAAATCCAATGTAACGCAAAATTGACGCCCGGGAAAAAAAAAGTTACTCAATTGCTGTAGTTGTGCTGCCCTACACGGGAAAACTTTTCGCGCGTGGGTTGAAAGCCTTACTTCGAACGTGAACATTTGCAGCCCAGTTATGTAAGGCCAGAATCGGATATGAACCCGGGGGTGTGTTGTAGGAGGATTGCACCAACAGCAGCCTCGATATCTTCCTTCTTTCTCTGTAGAGCTACCGACAGGTACATCTACGGTTTGGAAGGTCGCAATTCCTGGAGAAAGTAGAACAGCGCTGCCGTTCTGACGCAAACCTGTAGCCGGTGCTGAGGCCGTCTATTCCATGTTCTTCCATTCCGTTTTACACGTTTTACAGTAGTGTGGGTTTTCGTCCAAAATGTGGGTGGGATTCGATGAATTTGAATTAACTTTACCTGTATCGAAAAATGTTGTTCTGTTAAATCTATAGCAGGTAACCAAATGTTTTTTTGAGTTCTGTTTATTGTGATAAATTTATTGAAACCCTATGTACAAACAATAAGTAGTAAATCATTAATTTTTAATAATAACGTATATTTTTCCATCTCTCTCTCTCTGCATTCCGCTTCTAGGCCACCGGGCTATGGATCCAATATTCTTCTCTCCGCCTAATGGAGTCCCGTCTGAAAGCAAACTGGCAACCTATATGGTAAGTTGAAATTATGTAGTTCACATTTCATCAGGTTGATCTTTTTTATGATAAGTCTATGCAGCCTTTTGGATCCAATCAAATCTATAACCTAGCAATAAAAACATTTTGCTTAAGATTTTTAAATTTATGATTGTTACACATGGAAATGGCTCTAATGATTGGGCACATCGATAAAAACCTTCTGTACTTAAATTGCTGCCTAAAACTTTATGAATCAACCCAATATTAGAGACACTTAGACAAACATTAGGGAAATTAGCCTCGTTTCATAGAAGTATTAATTTGATCCAATTTCCAAAGTTTACAACCAATTTTAGTGAGAAAAACGATCAAAACAATCTGAAATGCTGTGTTCTTTAGCTCAGTATTTGTATAACAGCCCTATTGATGGCATTCTGAGTGCCCTCGTCTCTACATATACATTTTTTTAATGGGTATCCTGGGTAAGATAAACAGCGGAGGTAAAACCAGTGCTGTCATGATAAATTTGGAGCTGGTTACTTACTGATTTTTCATATGCACTTCATTAGTTACTGATTTGGCACTACCCCACCTCTTCAAATCCATGCGCCCCTCTAATGAGTGCCGAAAATTGTAATTTAGTAATGCACACATAATTTTCAAATTGTACGCAGCACTTTTTTTTTTAAATGAAAAACCGAATCAAAATGACTATGCATTCAAGATCTTTAAACATCTTTGAAAGTCTCGGGTTTTTGGAAGTTTTCGGTGCTATTCTTTGGTTTTTGGAACTGTCCTAAAGTTCAATGAACGTCAATAAACCAAGGTTGCAAATACTCATTTCAGCTAAAATAATGTTTTTCGGAATAATAAAACCAAAAGATGGTGTGATGACATGTTTTACTTGTAACTTACAAGAAAAGGTTACAAAGTATGCGTTTGAAATATAAAACCTGTAAATTTTGCTTTCTATGAGTCACAATCAGCGATTTGCTGATCGCTGAGTGAGTGAGTGAGTCAGTGAGTGAGTGTGTGAAAAATGGCTGATTGTGACTCTCATGATATGAAATAAACCAGTTTAATATGACAAACACATTCTTTGCAACCTCTTCTTGTATCTTACCAATTCAAAATATGATCATAGCATCTAATTATTTTATAATTAAAAAAAAACATTGATTTAGCTGAAATGAGTATTTGCAACCTTGCAATAAAGTTCTGTAGACTTCTTTTAATATCTCATAAATTTTTAACATTCCGAATTTGGTAGGTAACAAACTTTACGCCGACTACGAAGTCTCTGAAAAACGTATAACGGTAAGTTTGCAATGACATCACATAGCGATTTCTTGATGAATTAAAAAAAAATGTTTTAAGATTATTTTGATTGCAAGAAGATTGAAAATAGGGTCGTCTACTTTTTCTTTGAAGCGTAAAGAGTCGTTACACGTTTTATTTAAAGTGTGTTAGTGGGTTTTGCAAGTGTCTTAAGATCTATAATTTAGATTAATGGACACAAATGTTCATAATTAGAAAGAATACAGTCATAGTTCCTATATATAAAGATCCTGGAGATAAAGGAACGGTCCTCCGGATGATCCGGAACATCCGTAAAAGGGGTCAATTCTAGAGCTCCGCGGCTTTTTTGAAAACATTACACACTTAGAATTAACTTATTTTACATGTGACGGAATCCATTTTTGACATAAAAGATGAGACGTAAACAAACATGTCTTGTAATATTAAGTGCTCCGAGACTGAAAAGTTCGTTGCTCGGCAAAAAGTACGTTTGATTGAGCTATGATTCAAATGTATGTCAAAATTGACGCTCGTATCTCAGAGCACCTAAATTTACATGATTTTTTCTAGGTGTGTAGGAACTGTGATGATAGAATTAATTTGGTGTCTTGACATAAACATGGACATGAATGGCCATGGGGCCGTCCTCTGGAAGATCCGGAACATCCGTTAAGTATTAAATCCCTGAACTGATCCTAGAGTTCCGCGGTTTTATCAAAACCACTTGTAACTGTGCGCATGGAATGAATTTGGGGTCGTGACATAAGCATGGACCCTGATGACCATGGCATTGTCCTCCAGGAGATTCTAAACATCCATAAAAGTGGTCAATCCATGAAACTGATCCTAGAGCTTTCAAAGTGTTTTTTATGTTACTTCATACGCGAAGTTAACGATTTTCAGAGTTGGTTGGAAATGCTAACATGAAGCTTTAGTGTGATGATTTATTAGCTAGAGAATGATCTTTAGAAGAATGTAGGTGGATAGTTCCGTTAGAGTACGGCAGTATGAAAATTGAATAGAAGTTGAAAATGAGCGAAGGGCCATTAAAGCGACAGTTTTCAAGATGACGCACATTTTTGCCTAGCCCGTACGATGTACGCGGGGACTTGAAGTATGTCTCCAAGTCCACAGGCAAAAATGTGCGTCACTCTTGTTGCTCATAAACTGACTGCGGCTCCCTGTTTTTTTTTTTCGAAAACACTTGTAACTGTTATATAAGAAAGAATTTGGGGTCGTGACTTAAAAATGAACCTGGATGGCTATGGAACCGTCATCCGGAAGATTCGAAACATCCCTAACAGTGGTTAATCCATGGAACTGGTCCTAGAGCCCCGTGGTTTTGTTTTCGAAAATACTTGGAACTGTTATATGGATCATTTCAGCTCAAGTAAGAGATGAACTAGCCTCAGGCTAAAAATCTCTAAAATAAAGAAAAAAAAAAAAAAAAAAATTCAGCTCAAGTGGATACAGAATTAAAAAAAAGTTGTGGTCGATGTCACCGATTTGAGCCAAACTTGGCCAAAACGCTTATTTTGGCATTCTGAACAAACGCCTTTTTTGATTTTGCTTTGAAGTGCCTAGATCCTTCCGGGCTACAACCCTGGATTTTCGAGATGTTTAAAATGTCATCTTTCAGAAGAGATTACTTCACAACGAAATAAGCTACTCGTGATCTTATAACGTCAATTTGAAGGTATTTTAATGCAAATTCTTATAGATGTACCCAAATTTTCTTTTTGTTATAGTAACTACAGTAAAAAGGCTGATTACCCGCAGGTATGCAAATTTTATTTTTTATTTCTTTATATCTTGGGCTCAAATTTTCACCACACTTTGGAAAATTCTTCTACTAGATGTGTTTCCAAGGGAAAATGATTTGTACAAATAGTTTTTGAGAAATGACCAGATGAGTGAGTGGTAGTTTTGAGCTTTTCTGGTGGAAAATCAATGCTATTTAATTTTTTTCTTGAATTCCTTCACGCCGATGGAAGTAAATAAATGAGCTAGTAATGATTTCATATAATGAGAATCCTGCCCAGAACATGTGAAAAATATCATAAAACTATTATTGTGCCATCGGCGTAAAAGAATTCAAGAAAAAATAAAAAAAATAAATGGTAATGATTTTCCACCAGAAAAGCTCAAAACTACCAATCACTCATCTGGTCATATCTCATAAATTAGTTGCCCTTGGAAACACATCTAGAAAAAGAGTTTTCCAAAGTGTGGTGAAAATTTGAGCCCAAAATATAAGGAAATAAAAAACCCGCCCTTGGTGAAAATAGGCCATTTTATGTCAATTTTGATACCTGCTGGTATTCTGATTTCTATTTTCCCCCAGACTACGCTTGTAAATCCTCGTATGAAAACTTCTTCCAAATAGCTGAAGAAATCGTATTTCAATTTCCTCCTGAATTCAAAATTCATATTTATGGAGATTTCAATCAACGCAATGCTGATTTTATTCCTGATTCAGATAATGAGAGTTTTTTTCTCCCAGTCATTGGGGAAAACGAAACATTACAATTTATTTTTGAAAAAATGGCGTTTTTAGGATTAAACCAAATAAACCATGTAAGAAACCAACAGAATTGTTTCCTAGATTTCTTGTTAACGAATATACATGAAGATTTCTGTGTAAGTAAATCTATTTCTCCTTTATGGAAGAATGAAGCATTTCACACAGCAATCGAGTATTCCATATTTGTTCATGAGAGTCAACACCCCAACGAATGTGAGTATGAAAATGTGTTCGACTACAAAAATGCTAATTATGATAATATTCAAAATCAATACAATGGACTAAATTGGAAAACCATTTTGAAGGATCAGGTAAATGTTGAATGTGCAGTGGAGGTTTTTTATAAAATTCTGTTTGACGTAATTCACGAGGAAATTCCAAAAAGGAGACGACGCAATTATTCCTCAAAATATCCGGTTTGGTTCAATAATCATATCATTAACTTGAAAAATCGTAAACAAAAAGCTAACAAAATATACAGAAAACATGAAAATCGTGATAATCTCGAAAAGTATTTAAGTATTTATGCTCAACTTAATGATGCAATTTCTTTGGCACTGTCTGAGTATAACATGAAAACTGAGAATGAAATTAAATCATGTCCAAGAAACTTCTTCAATTACGTCAAAACTAAAATGAAATCGTGCAGCTTTCCATCAAAAATGACATTGGATGAAAAGGAAGGTAATAATTCTGATGATATATGTATATATATATATGATGTTTTTTTCAAGAAACATACACGAAATTTTCAGATAATGATCGTGATTATGAATATTTTTCTTATTTTCCTGACTTTTCAACTACTGTTGGCGTTAATAACATTTCGCTTCATGATATTTGGAATGACCTACGAGATTTGGATGCCACTAAAGGTTCAGGACCAGATGGAATCCCACCTATTTTTATGAAAAACTTAGCAACTGAACTCACAACCCCTTTATTCTGGCTGTTTAATATGTTGCTTGAATCCGGTATATTCCAGAAGGAATGGAAAAAATCTTACTTAATACCCATATATAAATCAGGTAAAAAATCCGATATTCGAAATTATCGTGGGATTGCTATCATTTCGTGCATTCCAAAACTCTTCGAATCAATTATAAATAAAAACATTTTTGGCCAAATAAAACATAGAATAACTAGTGCACAACACGGCTTTTTTAAAGGCCGTTCAACCACCACAAACCTTCTGGAATTTGTGGACTTTGTA